CTGGGACTGTGCGGTGGAGGAAGGTCTGAGGGCTGTGCAGACGGTTGTATAATCCACTCGTCAGACCGGTCAGGATGACTGAGCACAATTCACACACAATGCAGCTCACAACGTGCAGAGACCTGTGTACAGACAGCGCAATCTGCGTCGTGTCTTATCGGAGGGATCCTATACACCGGCACCCCCAGTGTGTGAGACCGTATCTCCAGTGCAGGCACAACCATTCCAATAACAGACTTCTGCTTGTCGGGGGGAGTCACCCCACTTTATACCCCTATAATAGACTCCTATCCATGGGGGGGGACTCCTCCCTCTACACCCCTATAATAGACTCCTATCCATGGGGGGGGGACTCCTCCCTCTACCCCCCAATAATAGACTCCTATCCATCGGGGGGACTCCTCCCTCTACACCCCAATAATAGACTCCTATCCATCAGGGGGGTCTCTCAGATTGACGCGGTCATGTTCCCGACAGACTGTGATGTGGTCACACGGACAACTTTAGGGGTGGCTACAAGGGTGTAGATGAGAAGTGGATACACCCACCGACCTGGACTGAGGGCACTCTAACTCCTCCGCGGCACGACTGAAGAAGTCTATATCAGGAGGATGGGGACCCCCTCCTCCAATCAGAGACCACCACTTGTGATGAGGTAACCTCCCCCGAGGAACAGACATGGCTGGGCCTGCATCATACAGAGGTGAAGATACCGGCTGGAGACCTGTACTGAGGGGATATGAAGCCTGAGGACCTCCTAAACATACCGTCTGGCTGTCATACTAATCCAATGGCTTCAATAACAAGTTCCTTCCAGGGGGTCAGCAGTGGCAGCCTCCGTCTTCTCCAGAGTCCTTCTCCATCGATCCGAAGTTCCATCTACAAGCTGGTAGAAGGCATTTCACCGGGACGCCCTGCAATCCTCATCCTTCACTACGGGCACCTCTGATGACCTCACCTCCATTGTTGGGGCACCGACATTTCTCACATGATTGCACACTGGGATCCCAATATTATCAGGTATACAATCATCATGAACCCCCAGACGAGAGCGACCTCCCGCCATCCATGTGCTGAGTCATATT